CTCCTCCCCCTCGGCCTCCTCCAGCGCTTTATTTATTCCCCATCCCGCGCTGCTCTCACCGGGTCGGGTCGCGGTCCCCAGGGCCGGTGGCTGCCGGGAGCCACCGTGGACCCCCGGCCTCGCATGTGGTTCTCTGTTTTCCTTTTTTCTTCTTTTTCTTTCTTTCTTTTTTTTTTTTTAAAGAGACTGTAAATATAGATAGAGCTTTATTTTGTTAATAAGACGACGAGTAACTTAACCTGTGTTTTTCACACACTTGTTTACAACCGTCTCCCTTCCCGCCCCCTTGGCACAATAAAATGACTTTTTGGAGCAGAGACCCGGCCTCGGACTCTGCTGCTCGGGGTGTCCTGGCCACGGGGCTCCTCCTAGGCTGCTTTTTAGCTCCTTCTCCCACCCGGCCGGGCTCTAAGGGGTCCCCTCTGTTTTTCCCTCCCTTGCCTGTTACTATCCTCCTGCCTCATCCCTCCTCCTGCCCTGGCAGCACTTGGGTGCCGGCTCCGCATCCTGGGGATGGAGACACGGGACTGGCCCCTGGCTCTGCAGGGTGCCTGGGACAAGGACAGCAGGAGCCGGATCCCACCCACTTCACCTAGTTCCCTTTTCCAGTTCCTTTTTCCCTGTCGCCTGCTCCGCATGGCCCGGGATGCTAAGGGGATGCAGGATGCGAGGGGACACGTGGGGCCAGGAGGGGGGACCCGGCCGTGCATCCCCCAGCCCCTCTGCTCCTGCATCCCTGACTCACCCCCTCATGTCCAGCTCTTTTTTGTGGCCCCAAACCAGCCCCCGGCTGCTGCAGAGGCTGCGGCTCATCCCGGGGCAGATTTTCTGCACATCCCAAACCTTTCCCTGCTCTCAGGCACCGAGCGGCTGGGCACCAGCTGTCACGAGCGGGGCAGTGCTCAGCAGGGGCCTGGACAGGGGTAGAGCTGCTGCCCGTGCCCAGATTGGCTTCGCCCTCTTTAACCCCCTACCAAAAGAGACCTGAGGCTCCGCTGCGCCCTGGAGGGAGGATGGAGCTGAGACCCCGTCGCGGGGACCAGGATGCTGCCAGCAAAGCCCGGAGCGGGGAGAACAGCAGCAAAAAGAGACCTCGGAAGCAACCAGGCATGGGCAGGGGCTGCATTGCAGGGGGAGCAGGTACCCAGCGCTGCCCGCAGCGCCGAGGATGCAGCCCGGCCGCGCGCAGCAAGAGAAGCACCCGGG